AGGGCAAAACCCTACAGGAAACCTATCAGCCGTGGCGGCAGGCCAGCGCCCCTGTCATGCAGAGGGTAGGCCACCAGCCCGGCGGGCGTGCGCCAGGGTGGCCCTCGCGGCCTACCTTACAGGCTGCCGAGCCGAGCCCGCGGCCCCGGGGGGCGAGTAGCACAGGGGTGCCGAACACTCTTTCTCTCTCTCATCCTACGCACCGCCGCCGTTCTGCGGTGCTGGTATTGCGCCGTGTTCAGGGACTATTGCGCCGCGCCATAACGGCGCCGGCGCCTCCAGTGAAACGAGGAAAATTACCGCGCGCGCGGGAAATAAACGACAGGGCGGCGAAATGAAAGGGAAATAAGAAAAAGTGTGGCCGGGGGCCCCGGGCCCCGCGGCGGCGGCCGCCATTCAGGCGCGTAGTGCGTGATGGCGGCGATGGTGGTGATGGCGGGCGTGGACGGCTTAACAATATGCAGGGGTCCCGGCGGAGGGCCCGTATAACAATCCTCGGGCCTGTGTGACATCGCGTCGTGACTCATTCGGATGTGCGCGTGGCTGGAGGGGGACGTCGTGGGGTCGTGTGCGTGCGCTCGTGGTGCTCCCTCTGCCCCCTGGCCGCTCTGGTGGGCAGTAGTGGTGTGTTCTTCTTCTCCCCTATGGCTGCTCCGGTATGGGCCTCTCCTCTCATGTCGTGACACTCGTACACCTCTGTGCCGGGTGGGGCTTGTTCAACCTGTTTGAACTCTGGTGGGCATTTGCGACCCTTTCTCTTATTGCTCTGCTGGCTGCTCCGGTGGGCGCTTGACAGTCCTCCGGCACGTCGTCGTGACTCGTACACCCCCTGTTGAAAGCGGAGGACCCTGGTCTCCCCGGGTGCACTGGTGGGCGCTGCTGGTGGCCCCTGCGTGTCGCGGTGGAGGTGGAGGCGCTGTGCCCCGCCTTGCTCCTGGCAGGCTTGCTCCCCTGCTGGGCGGGCCGCTTTGGCCGGCGGATAACCCGTTTATCCCTGGCCTGCCTAACTCTGCCCGCGCGCGTACACGCGTACAAAGTAAACTTGTAGCCCGTCGGGCGCGCCTACCAGGACTGAGTCTGATTTGCAAGGGCGATTAAAGTTGGCCGTCCGACCGGGGAGCGCCCCCATGCCTTTACGCTGAGGAGCGGGCCGAGTCATGTCCTCGCCTTGCCCTTGCCCAGTCCCTCCCCGCCGCATACTCCGCCCCGTCCGTGGGTATTACGCTTTTTGTGGTGGCTTTTCGTCCTCTTCATCTCGGACTTATCATCACGTGTCTTGAGGATTGAATTGATTCAATTGTGATTTCACCTCGGATTTCACCCGAGTTTTACTTTGATTTCACTCAAATTTGTTACCAGCCTCACCCCCTCGCTGCCCTTCCCCTGTTTGTCTGTCTGTCTGTCTGTCTGTCTGTCTGTCTGTCTGTCTGTCTGTCTGTCTGTCTGTCTGTCTGTCTGTCTGTCTGTCTGTCTCTCTCTCTCTCCCTCTCTCTCCACCGTCTCTCCCGCCCGGCAACAGTGTGTGCCTGATCGCCTTAGTGAGAGAGCCCCCCACTTCCTTCAGCTCTTTGGCAATTACCCTCTCGACCCTGTGTGCGGTGCCCTGCCCTGCCCGGCCCGGCCCGGGGGTGCGCTCTGTAGACGCCCCGCCCCGTCTCGTCTTCTTGCCGCCCGCCAAAGCCGGATGTATCAGCCGCAGGCGAGGAAGCAGGAGGTACCGTACTCACCCGTCGCTCTCTCGGGGGTACTCGCCATCGTCGTGTGCGTGTGTGCGTGTGCGTGTGTGCGTGTGCGTGAGTGTGTGCGCGCGCGCCGCCCGCCCACACACATACGTCCCTTATTTCCTGATCAAGTTTTGTCACGCAGGCATAAAAGCTTTTCGCCTAATTAAGCCATCAGCTGCAGGGGGGTGCTCGCTGTGCTCGTGTGTGCGGGCGGCTCACCTGCAATACCCCGCCGCCGCTCCAACGCGCCTGCATGAGCCAATAGAATAGCGTCATTATTATTCAATGGTGAAATCCTGGCCCGCGCTCTGGTGTTCTCGTACCACGACACCCCCTCCCCCACCAACACACACACACACACACACACACACACACACACACACATGCGTACCTTAAAATGAAAAGGCCTCCACTCGTTCCGAAGCACATTGATTACGTGCTGCTGCGCCTCCTCCTCGCCCCGCCCCGTCCCGCCATCCCATCCCCATCGATATTATTCCCGATCAGTTCATCAGCGAGAGCTGCTCGCGCCGACAAAGTCCCATACCGCCCATGATAATCTCTCTTTGCTCTGCCCGGGCCGCCGGGCTATTCCAGACCAACCTGTCGGCAGTGGTCGGCCCAGTGGCCGGCTCCGTGGTCGGCCCGTAGTGGTCGGCCCCGTGGTCGTCGTGGTCGGCTCCAATCGATGTTACTGTGGACAGAGGCGTGACACGTTTGTTATTTACAAACAGGCAGGAGTTGTAAATGGCCGGGTAGCGTAGCAGTGCCCCCTGAGCGGAAGGGAGGGGACAAACAACCATACAGAGCTAAATTAATAATAGCTTACTTTAAAAACGTGCCTTTCTTTTATTTTTCATCGGACCTTTCTGAAACGAACTTGCTGCGGATCGTCTTGCGAAAATGGCCCACCGTCGCGGTGTTCATTTCGTTTCTTGCGATCGTGCGAATAATCCCCCCAGCGCCACAGCTTCCCTTCCCATCCTCCCGCCCTTGACCGGCGAGGCGGACGACGACACCGACGACAACACTCTGACATGAGCGGCTTATCTTTTTTCGTCGTAAAAATAAACGAGGATCAACGAGATCAATCGGTTAGTAGGCCGTCTGGCCCTTCACGTCAAATTCAGTGTCACCCCCTCCTCCCCTCTCTCCCGCAGTCTGTCACGCGTGCGTGTGTGTGTGTGCGGGTGTGCGAGTGTGCGTAAGAGCGAGTGTTTGCCCAATACTGGGGATCTGTCGTTCTTTCCTCCATACCCTGCCACCTCCTGCAAATACAAACATGTTTTCTGGACGATCGAGGAGGATCTTCTCAGTGCAAAACAAAGTTTTCTTCCCGAAAACTTTGCTCAATGTTATTGTATCAAATCTTAGTATTTTTCACCTCTAAGAATATTTTCGTTATAATTAACAATGAATTACTTCTGATAGAAAGCTTTGTTATTGTTTGTTTATGCATGGCTGTCGTTCAGTCACAAAATGGACAGCTGGCTGGTTGCGCCGCCCAAAGTCACAACCTCTTTTCGTGTCAAAAAGATGAAAACAAATGAAAAATAAAATTTTAAAATGGCATTTTTAACAACATTTTGTCAGACGAAAAAGTATGTGATACGAGACTATTTTTTCACTGCGGCGAAGGCGAGGCTGACAGGCTAAAATAAAAATTAGGATAAAACGTTTACGACAGATCGCCGTTGACGTAATGGGGAGAGAGTACTAGTGTACCTGAGTGTGCGGATTAGAGGATCACCGGTAAACACGGTAAGGGGATGCCTGGCTCCGCCTGGCTCGGGCGGGCCCGCCAGAGAGCGCGGCGGGCTGCGGCGGCCACCAAACGGAAACGGGGGAGTGAAGTGGAGGAGGACGCAGACTTTGCGGTGGAACCCGATATATGTCCACGGAATCACTCACGCCACCTGAAGTTGAGGGGTGACGGTAATGCGACACGGCGCTGCTGATCGTGTAAGTGTATGTGT